TCGGGGGGGGGTGCGGGGGGTGCGGGGCCTCATGAAACAACTGAAGTCAGGATCCAATAGAACTGCCCAGCAGGAGTTCGTTATGGGCGGCGCTGGGGTCGCGAGGGCTCCCGCGAATGAGCCAGGGACATCAGCTGGCACACACACAAATCATAGCCCTGTTCCTGGAAAGGGACGTCTTGTGATAACGGGTCCCCAGGGTTCATGTGCATAGTTTGGGCATGCGTAGTGAAAACAGGGTGAGGGGCTTTGGCGCCGTGCTTGGGGGAGGAAGTAAGCAGTCTTCCTCACAGTGTTCGCGAGCTGACTCTCTTTCCAGAGCGTGCTCTGTGAAGTCCCGGTGTCTCCCTCCTAAATCAGCAGAACCACCCTCTATCACGGTCTCTGTGTCTCTCTGCTCGAACACCCCTCATTTCATTCTAGGGGTTGCCCAAGTGTCCACTGAAGGCCTTGAGTCTGCTATCAGTGATTTACGCAGGGAGCTTAAGGAGCTGGGATGAGCTTCTTTAACCGATTAATAAGAGATAGGACAAGAGGGAATGGCCTCAAGTTGCATCAGGGAATGTTTAGACTGGATATTCCCAAGAATTTCTTTGCAGAAGGGGTTGTTGGGCGTTGGAATGGGCTGCCCAGGGCAGGGGGGAGTCCCCATCCCTGGAGGGGTTGAAGAGTCAGGTTGACCCAGCGCTGAGGGATCTGGGGGAGTTGGGAACGGTCAGGGGGAGGGTCATGGTTGGACTGGAGGAGCTTCAAGGTCCTTTCCAAACTGTGATTCTGAGTGTTTTAATCTTACCTAAGCAGACAAAGGGACCTAAGGAAACAGTTGAGAAGTCAGGAGTCCTTGAGAAACAAATAAAGCAAAACACAAACAAAGCTTTCATATATCACATCACAGTTTAGTCATAGTAATTGTCAGAAATTCATTTGTTTGAGCCCTTTCACTCGCACAGGCCATGCACAGGGTGCTGAGACTTGCATGGGCCGTTCGTGGGGTGCTGAGTCTCACACGGGGCCGTGCACAAAAGGTCGAGCAAAGAGTCCTTTGGGGGGCTGAGGCGCAAGACTTGCAGCAGGGTCTGTGTGGGGTGCCCGATGCCCCACGTGGCTGCTCGCTCGCCCCTAGGGATGAGGCTGCACTGTGCGGCTGTGCCATGGAACATTGCTGCAGCTCCGAAGGGCTGGGGGGAGAGTTGCAAAGGGATTCCTCTTGCAAAACCCACACTGGGGGTCACCCCAGTGATTAGTTCAGCAATTAGTTCAGCGTTTCTCCAAGCATGAGGTTGCCTATAAAGATGGAATTTTTCACCTTTCTTTCAGCTGAGGAACAAGCCAAGGTGTCCCCCCAAGCTTAGGGACACCAGAGCTTGTGGCCGAGAGAGGACAGGGCCGTAAATAATATGTTTCATCTTTAGGTAAACGGAAGTTTATCACTTCAGAACATTGTTAGAAGGCTCAGGGATTAAAGCACTGGGAAGTGGGAGACCTGAATGTCATTATGACAATAAAGGTAATATTCATCAGTATTTGAGTTAATTAAATATAATCCTTGGCTTCTCTCCCAGGCAGCAGCTTGGGGTGTGTGGCAGAGCAACCCCAGCCCCCTGGTGCCAGGGGGCCTCAGTCAAGTGCTGCTCAGCCCTTGAGAAAACCCATCAAATCTCACCCCTCCTACAACCGTTTTCAGTAAAAGCCTTTCAAACTTCACTCAAACCTTGTCAAACAAGCAGTAACTGGTGGCAAATGAGAACTCAAGATGAATTTAATACTGTATCTATTCAGCCCTAAAATACACGGACGATCAGCAGCAATAGCACATTATTTGAGGTATATGATTTCCAGCAGATTGGGTTTTTTAGCCTGTCAAGATCACTCCAACCATTTGAATCCTGTGAGCTCTCTAAAGAGATGGGGTAACTGGAAACACCTCCTCCTTCCCTCCTCCCCATCTTTCCTCTCAACCCTGAAAAAAACCACCCTTGCAAATATTTCCCTGCATTTTAATCTGTCTAACACTTCTTTGCTATTACAACTTTTGATTTAGAGTGATGTGACCAGACTTGAGAGGGCAGAAGCGGTGAGCTGTGGCCTAAGGAGCAGAGCTGTGGGGCTCCACAGCCCTGAGGCTGCAGGAGGACGTGGGGGACGTTTGCAGCTGGGAAGGATTCTTCCACCTAATTTTCCTCTCTGGGTTTTTATTTTGTGCGGCTGAATTGTTCCCCAAAATCCCATGTCTTGCGTGGCTTTGTTTTTCAGGAGAAACTTCCCACACGCAGGTCGAGGCCAGAGGTGCTTACACATGGATATGCTAAATTGTGGAGCTGGAAATCCAATTTCTGCTACTTTTCTCATTGGCTGCAGCTTAATCATAGATGTTTCCAGCTGAAAAGAAATATTCCCACACCCAGTGTTTGAGACAGCTATGAGAAATATCACAATTTGGTAATGATGACCCTCTGAGCACCTGCTTTTGTTGTACCTGGGTGTACGAATGTGTTTTCAACTAAAACATTTGAGAAAAACTAGTTTCAATGACTTCCCTAATACAAGTGGTGACATCTCATCTAGCACCTGGATTTCAGCTCTGGGGACTTCATGGAAATATCTGCTAGACAATCACTATGTGAAAAACATAAAAATGGCATTTTGTAGCAGCCTTCATGCCTAAAAATGTGCTTCTACATCCATACACTGATGTTTTTGCATCAGAAGATGGTGCTTGATAGGTTTTGCTGTTTGGTTTGTGTTTGGAGAAGCCTCAGCTCAACTTTCATCTGCAGCAGGTTGAGACCTGCCAGGGGCTTCGGGTCCTGGATTGGAAGGACCCCAGCCGAGGCACATCACCCACAGCACCTTCTGCTTGTTTAAATTGAGTCAATCCAGATGCTGCAAGTGCTGCTGAGGAGTGAGGTGGGCATGCGAGAGCCGCCCTGCACCCACACCCTGCAGGCTTTAATGCTTTGGAGTTATGCCCAAAACACACTCTGCTTCCCCAGCAGATCCATTTTTTAATGGCCTTAAAATAACCAAAGCACTGTTTGGCTTCATCAAGATGCTCAGGGGTCAGGGTGGCTGGGAAGGGGACGTGCCCAGAGCAATGTCCTGCTGGTGCTGGGGACACCCTGTCTCTCCTGGTCTCCCCATTTGTGCCCAGGTCCCCAGTCCCCCCAGTGTGGGCACTTAGTGCAAGCCTTGGGGCAAGGCTGTTGCAGAGATCATCACACCTTTCTCCTGGCTGTTTGCAATTCATTTCCCCCAAAGTTTGTCACTGGGAGCTCATCCTGCAAACTCTTTCCTGGCAAGAAGTTCCCTCCGGAGCCCGGAGCTCAGAGAGGAGCAAGCTGCCTGTGCCTGGCTCCTTAGTGTCCTTTCCATATAAACAGGCTCCCTCCAAGACAGAGAAGAATGTATTATTCAGAAACAAACAAAAAAGATGGAACTGTGGGTTTGCATTTTTGGAGACACACAAAAACATTTTCCTCCCGCAGCTCACAGAGACTCCCAGGTAAAGCTCTTGTGGTGACCAGCTCCTGTCATCCAGCCGAGCCAGGTGGATCCTCCCAGCTCATTCCCTCCTCAGCTCCTCCACCCTGTTCATCCTCTAGTCCCATTTCAAGAAATACTCCATGCACAACAGGTATGCATTTTTTTTTTCCCTTCCATGTCATTTCTCCATCCAGCTGACAATTTTTGGTGGCAATTTAACAGCTTTTACAAATTACATTCCTATCTTTTCCTTGGTTATTGTTAGAGAGGAGAAAGTCCCATTTTTCACTGCGATCCTTCAGGTTTCTGCTGTCACTGTATTTAAGACTTTTTTTTTTTTTTGTCCTTAGCTTTTATTTTCTTATCCCTCAAGGGCAGCCTTGGAAATTCAAAGCTGTTTCCTGACTATCAGTGGATCTGGTATTCTCTTTTGGCAGCTCTGCAGCAACTGTCTCTCTTCCTTCCATCCTTCCACCTAAATGACACCCTTTTCTCAATAAATTACCCTTTGTCTTTCAAAGCAACGTTTCCACTTGTGACAGTTTGGATATATAATAGTTACATCCCAGTGGGTACCTTCAGGAGCATCAACTAACAGGCCAATACAAACTCAGTGGTGCAGAAAATAGAGATTTACGTATTTTGGGCTTTATTTCCCCTCGAATAATTGGGCTATGCTCTGAATTTTCAAAGTTTGGGTTTAAAAATATGGTTTCTCATCACAAAAAACCCTCTCCTGGAATAGAGGGATGGCTGATCCCGTAGCAGGATTCTCTTTTTTCAATAGCATCCCTTGTGGTCTCTGGAAAATGCCCGGGGCAGCCAAGCCCACCCAGCCGTGCCCCCTGGCATAGAGCTTCCTGGCCCCCGTGTGCTGACCACAATGCATAAAGCACCAAAACCTGCTGAAAGCACAAATCCAGCAGCACCAACAGTGCATGCCCAATGCCCCTGCCCCGTTTTGGGCATTTAGCAATGTTCACACATCACCAGCGAGGAGCAGCGGGGAGGCAAGCAACAGCCGGAGCAGAAGGTGCGAGGGGAAGGCAAATGGAAATATCACCTGCAGTAACAGCCATGGGCCTCTCGAACAGTCCCTAAACACATGCGAGTGGCCTGGGGAGGTTTTCCCCCACCCTGTATGGCAGCATATGCTGGAGTGGGCCGGGTTGCTTCAAGTGTTTGCAGAGCCTTGTCTGGAGAGAAAGCGGCTGTGCCGCTAGGAAGGAGGAAATCTGTTACATCATACTTTGCAGTTATCCAGCGTTTTTCACTCTTTATGGCAGAAACGTGCCGGAAAAACAGCTGACCAGCAAAAACCCTGATTGCTTATGCTGCA